ATGGTGGTTAATGTTCTCCGTCCATGCCGTAATGGTTCCCACATTGGCCCTCACATCAACTCCTGATCAAGCGGAAGCTAATTGGCTGTTGAGAGTCACTTTCCTCTCCCCCTGTTTGTCTCGCTCACTGTGTCTCTCGGTGGAGTACATTTGGACTTCAAGGGGCAGTGCAATGTCATTCAATGCCCTTGATTGGCTGTGAGCCTCTAATAAACTACGATGCCAATTTAACATTTCCAGGCGCAGAGCTTGTGATATAGTCATTTGTATGCATAGCATTTTTGGGGTTATTTTAATAAAAAAGGCCCTTGTTGGTTGGGTTATTGTAAGGAAAAAACTTCAGTTCTATATTTAGATGGAGACATGTAGTTGCAGGCTCTTCCTGCCCTGTCAGATCCAGTCCCATCAGAGGCAGGACAGCGGCTGCTGGGAAATGTGTGGGGGGGCTGGGGGATGGTGAAACACTGTGGCAACAATGTGGCAGATGCACAATGAGCATCGTCGTGTTATGACTCCGATTGTGTGTGTCAGGACTCAAGTGTATGCACATTTGGTAGAAGCATATAAGGACGGTGATAAACATCATGAAATAGAATGATTATTATGTGTACTTGGCCACTGACAAAACAATCATCCACATGGTGCAGAGTTATTATGCTCATATAGTGCCTGCAATAAGTGCTAGTCATTTCCCCGGTCAGCAATTTCCCTTCCAAATTCCCTATTCAACAGATTCAACTCAGGATGTGTAGATATTCATTATCGCAGCTGGATAATCAGATCAGAAGCTGAATGGCGAAGGTCTGTCTGACAGTCCAACTGTTTCTCAGCAGGCAGTCAATACATAATAGCCTTATATTCTGCAGAAATCAACAAAAGGAAGTGCTCCGAAAAAAACAAAAAACAACACAAAACCCGAGACAAGCTAACTCCATCTATGGTGTATTCTTTTAAAATATTCTTACACAAAGGATTTCATCATGTTTTCTTTTCTGATAGGCCTTAAGCAAAATATAAGTCATTATTTTCCTGGCATTCCCTTCTCTATTGGGGTTGTGGAAGGATTTGGCAGCATGAGAAGTCTTGTAAGTTATTTTACTCAACAAGCAAACCTTTTAAATTGTATACAAACATTATTGAACAAGTAATTTGTCTCCTCGAGGATCCACAAGGGTACATCACTAGCAGCAGTACATACATTGTCCTGGTTTTTTTCTGTCTCTTGGGAATTAAGAAAGAGAGTTCTTCTGTATAGAGTCTAAACCATAATATGTGTGTATTGATAACCAACGTGTCTACAGTCTGTTCTATACCAAAGTGAAGCCAAAATATCCCAGATAGGGGAGACTCCAACTTTTTTGGACGTTATTTTGAGTCGGCGCTGTAGTTCTTTGGTGGCTAAAGAGGCGTTATTGAAGTCCCGCCTATACATTAGCCAGAACCAATAACAAGTCAAGCAATGAGCCTAAACTAGCTTTAGTTATTACAACCTCACTTATCTGAAACATTTAAACATACAATGTTAGAAGAAATACCTAAAATGACATTATATATGATATTATTTGATGTGCACTTTTTAGATGCCCCATGTCCCATCTGCAAACATGGCGGGGTGTGATTTAAGATCTATACTGCAGCCAGCCCCTAAGGGAGATTGAGATGTGTTATCTTTTACTTTTTGGAGTTTTCATGTTGTCTTGACATGTTTCTTATATTTTTTGGATGACTGTTCCCAGATTTTTCTGTTTAAATGTTTAAAGCAAACACCAGAGCCAGCCTTTTAGAGCACTGTCTCAAAATGGCACCTGTTACAAAAAACTTAATTCAAAGCCTAATTGTGGGTAGTTTTTTGAGAGGCTAGGCAAGAAAAGACAGAAGGAAAAAGAAGGTGGAGATCTACTCAACCAACTGTAAGACCCTGCTGTGCCAGCATCTATTCCCCCATAATTACACTGGGCCGCAAATAGAAAGGCAGTTTTCTCTCCTCCCCGACCCTGTGCATTTCTCCTGCCTGAGACGCTAAGCAGCACTTTGCAAGGATACGCAAAGCACAGGGGGCGGGGTGGTGGTATTTAGATGTGAGAAAAGGCAATTTGTCAGAAACCTAGAGAGTACCGGAGTAATGACAAGAGAATAACAGCAAAAGGACTAAAAGGTTGAATTGAGATGATTCTGTGAGCGCGGTAGAGGAAGGCTCAGTAAGTGTGCTTGTACACGTTGGAATCCATCATTTTCTCAGATGAGCAAGAAGAAAATAATTCAAAAATCAACATTTGAATTTTATGGCTTAGATGCACCACACAAACATACAGGAATCGGAGTAAATGCGATGTGACGGCGGCTGTTGTGTAACTAAGCCCAATGAGTCATGAGAGGGAGGAATGCGTTGTTGTGATGGTTGGAGGAAGAGGAGGAGGTCTGCCTGGGGAGAGACTCACGGAGAGAGTCAGATCCGTAAGCAAAGTCATCTGGGGGAGAGAGAGGAAGAGGCTGGACATTTGGTTTCAGGCCATGCCTCAACTTGTCTGGACCCTGGACCACAAGTGAGGCGTAAATAAACCTGAGCCTCCACGCAGACATGGCTCCGGACAGAATGAGCCCATGTGCACATAACCACATACGCATGCAAACATGAACATATGTGCAGACACACACACACACACACACAATATTAAATGACTGGAAAATCACGCAGTGTGATAGAAGGAGGTTACCATGGGCTGCAGGCAGAAATAAGCCATCCTATTTGGTTGCACACAAGTTGCAACACACTTTGCTTCAAAGTATACACCTACTGGATGTGTGTGTGTGTGTGTGTGTGTGTGTGTGTGTGTGTGTGTGTGTGTGTCGTACATGCATTTGAAGCACACAGGGCCCCACACTCGTTGTCGTACATGCCCGGATCCGGGCTGCGCCTCCATGGCTGCGTTATCATCCAAAGAGGCAAACAGCCAGCCCCTGATTTAATAAGCTGCCTAGGGAGTCACAGAGAGGTGGGGAAGCACTATCAGCTGATAACTGTCCTCCCTGCAAGCCCAGCGTTTTCTCTGATAGCCCTGCCAAGAGGAGACTCAGCTTCTCCTCGTCTTCTGTGTGAATGTGAATGTGTGTGAGTGATCCCCTGCCGGCTGCTGCCCACGTGTCTGTAGGCTGCCTGCGCTCATGCTTTGCTGCATCTCTGGAGGTGTCAGACACACAGCAGAGGAGAGCCCACACATGGCAAAGGCAGGCCTGCGCCCAGCACTGAGGAGCATATGCTCAGAGCTTCCATCTTTCAGCCCCCCCACAGACCAAAAACATACACCTCGCGTCATAGTGCCAATCCTGCCAAGCTGCGCAAACCATGGGCCAGACTACTGACATATCTCCCACTCGCTTCTGTACTTCACACAGGCCATAGAGCAGAATCATCTCCTTGAAACAAGTGCTAGGAGAACAAAAAATACTACTATTATGCCGAAACAAACAAAGAAAGAACACGGCTAAATTTGATTTTCTATTGATGTTTCTGATGGCTTTGTATTCATACTTGAGTAATCTAGGAGAATGATCAATGGGATGGCTTTCTAATTAATCCTGTCCATGCAGTCTTTAAGAGAAGTGTAGGAGTGTCCTCCTTGTAACGAACCAAACAATAGGGTTATTGGTGCATTTTTTTTTTTTCAGATTTATAATTTAAGCCTTTTAACGGTGGGATGTATTTATGATCAGGTCTAGTTCTAGAGAAGATTCAGTTCAAGATGTGTGTTATTAGCTACATAAGTGCTGGATTTTGCAGTGACTGGAGAATGCAATACTTTGTGTTTGAAATGATCATCCTGTGGTAACTTCCATGTGTGATAAAACCTTTTTTTGCATGACTCCTCAGTGAACAAAAAATCTAAATAGAGAAGTCTTGATGAATTGAACAACGTCTGTTTATCTTGAGTTTTTAATTGGCCGTTTTTATCAAACATGCATTCTACTGTAGTGAGCATCTGAGTGTGTATGTTTTTATATAGCATTGATAAAGGGGTAGTACAGCTTTATCTTTCTAAGACTCAGTGTTGAATTACGTTTTTTTTCTCATAGTGATGTTGTAAATGTACTTCAACAACATGCTTGCTATGTAACAAATACAGTACAGAACAGTGCCATACATGATGCACTCCCAGTTATGAATATATTAATGTAGCATCTTTTTACTGTCTCTCTCTTCACCTTTCCTTTTTGGAATCCCACCATCTGTCTCTGAAATTGCACATCTCCATTCCCACCCAGAGAAGAGGCTCCTTTTGGGCAATCTTTTGTATTTTCTAAGCCGCTGGTATTATTGTTGGTGATTGCTTTTTGTATGTGTGTACGTGTGCGCATGTGGGCGTGCGTGTGTGTTGCAGTAAGGCTCACATGATAGGCATACTTTGGTGTGGCCACGGTGACCTGAAGCTGACACCGATGATTGATCCTGGTGCTGCGATAAGTGCCTGTGCACCGGTGAGCACACTGGTCTACTGAAACGCAGCCAAGCGGAAAATTAGAAATCTCCTCATCCCTGGTCCATTTGAAATCCGATATCTCCCATCTTTCCCTCGCACAGGCACCTTTCCTCAGCCAATAAATCAGTAATTAAATGATGTGTATGTGTATGTACATGAGGACAGATGGCTTGTCCTTGGGGGATCAGGCCGCTCAGCTGGGTGGGAGTATTAAGTCTCCAGCAGGACTGCCCGTGTACACCTCCTTTTGTCCACTTGAAAACCGAAACACACGCTGTATTGTCCCGGGTACAAACACACTTGTACACACACTTTTGAGTGGTTCTATGTGTGTGCTGTGTGTCAGCTGAAGGTGTAATGTTGCCTCTGGTATCAAATAAATCAAAGTCAGGCCCCCTCTGAGAGCACCTCACCTTTTGGAAGTCTTTGGTGCAATCCTGCCCATACTAGAACAGAAAAGTCCCACAGTTTCACTTTTCAAGTTGTTTTCTTAACTTCTAGCATCAACCTCTTTGTGTTGTCCAGGTACGTCGGCTCAGGGCAGCCCCCTCCTCGCCTCCCTGCCCCTCCCGGGACGGCCTCTGCAGCCGCAGCTTGACCTCAAACATCTCCTGCCCTTCAGACTCAACGGATCCTCCCCCCTCAATCTCTTTCCTAACTTCAACACGGTAAGTGCAATAGCTCCTTGGGTACCAATATCATGGAAAATAGCAGTTAGATGAAGTGGAACTGATTGATCTATAACTTTTATCTACAAGGATTTTTAAACAATAAAGGTCGCTGGCAGAGGCCGACCTGCAAATGATATAGTACCCAATTAGATCCACCAGAAATATCATGTGAATAGTTGGCTAATTTCACAGAAGAAAAACGTTATGTCTACACTGTTTTGTAACTTGCTTTTTATAGCTCGAGAACAACATTTCTTTGGTCCTGTCTCGTCTTGCACACACTTGCAAATATCAGTGTATTTGAATTAAAGACATGTCAACCCCAACCAACATTTAAACGTCATTTTGTACGCTGGGACAGGAACTACCTTAATTTTATGTGTCAGGGTTGTGAGCCCCACACTTCATAAATTCAGTTTCAATGTTCAACCCCATGATCAGGTAGAGGGATAAAGACAGACAGGCCATAAAATCATGTCCTTATTCACCAACTCACTATCTTTACTGCCAGACCTTAGCCTCCAGTACGTGTCCCATAAACTCTCCCCCTGTCAGAGGCCATCCCTCAGGTTCGGGGTGCTAATCTTCATTCTAGCAGGGTTTCACCTCTCAGCATTCTAGTTGTCACCACAGTATCAGCATCTCTACAGATGAGACCCTTATTACTTTGCTTCGAATGTCAGCAGCAAACTGTTCAGTTTTCAAGCACTGAGGCTCTGAGGCTTGCCTTCCCTCGGTGCCTGGAATTAAAAGCCTGTATCTTTGATCCTTTACTTACCAGCGCTATATCCATTGTCGTTTTGTGTGAGTATGTATGTGTGTAGGAACTTCTGGTATCTTTGATCCTAGTTTCACGGTATGTGTGTGTGTGTCTGTGTTCACCTCCCTCATCGCACACTGTGAAACCATCTCCAGTTCTGTAGTCTGTAAATGAAACATAAGCCAGAGCTTTCTCTCCTGCATATGCTTTACACCTTTTCAAACAAAGCGAAAAAAGGAGAGGAGGAGAGAGGGCCACACAGACATCTGGCTGGCTGGTTCAGACAGTGGGTGACATGTGCAAGGGGGGGTGGGGGGTAAACATGTGCTTCATGTGTGTGATGATGTGCCATGTGAAAAGTGCAGTTTATTCATTTGGTCTGCCACCCACTGCTGTAGGTCGGGGGGTCGCCTGTACTGCCCTATGGAGGAGTGAGCAGAAGCAGCATGGAAAAACAATAATCCTTCTAACACCTTCATGTATTTGTATTGGTCAGTGTTATGATTATGTTTCAAAGGTTCAATTGCTTTTTCTATTCTTAATACAACGTATTGCCTTGCAGCTCTGTTCAAACCTTTATGATGACTGATAAAAACTATTTGTGACATTCCACAGCAAATATATTTCAGAATTAGTCAAATAAACTCATTGGGGGGGCTACATGCTTTCTTCTTTATTATAAAAGGGAAAAGCATTAGAAACCTTTACTGAAGAAAAAAAAGGCAGTAGATTATGAATGCATGCAGCACAGCGACTTCACAGAAAATCCAATCAATTGCAAAGATATTGAGTTCTTCAGTCATTGTTAAGGAGAATACAACTCGCAGTAGGACGGGAAATCAACCACAACCAGAATGCAGAAATAGTGATAACTGTGGGAGTAACATCAAATCAGTGTCGCTTCAATCCCGGGAGGAGATGATTATCCTCCATAACACACTGTCTGACGGCGCAGCTGTGGCATTAATCACAAAGTCCATTCAACTGGGAGCCCCAGGTTCTCTTAGCACTGATAAGGCCCACGTTGTCCCGGACGTGTGCAGGGGGGAAGATGAATGCACCTGTCTTCAAAACTAAATATCCTCCGGTCCCTCGCTGTCCCTTATCCCCCCCCCACCTCTCTCTTTCTACCTATTTCTCTCTACCAATCCTGAAACCCCATCACGTCTCACCCGCCTGGCGCAGGATAAGTCCTGTCTGCACCAGGATGGAGGGGGAGGATGGAGGGCTGGGACAAAAGACTCATTTATAGCAGTTGGTTCAGGATGGCTGCGGACAGACAATGGGCACATTCTTCAGTTCCCAAAACAAATAGCTGTGTGCAGCCTGCTCTGCTCAGGTGCACGGGGGGCAGCAGGAGTGGGAGAGCTAGGTTTCAGCGGTCAGGCTTCGGCTGGGGAAGGGAAAAGTCAGTTGCTCCCAGAGGTAGCTTTTAGTCATGTAGAAGAGGCCAAAATAAAGCAACATAAGCAGAGAGAGCCCTGAGGGAGAGATATACCTCCTGCATAGTGGTTGCAGTGTCAGGTGTGTTTATATTCCCTCTCACACCTGGCCTTCTTGAGGAATCCATAGTAAACAGACGCTACTCTTGCAGAGGAGGCAGCTGCAATGGACGAGCCACAGCTCTTTGTGTGATAGGAAGGGATCTAATGCTGTTCAGGCTTTTGTATCAGAAGTAAGGTAAGGCAGTGTGCCAACCCTGATGCCATCAATACAACAACACACCCTGATCTCTGGGCAGCTGAGGCGTTCTGCCGTGCCACCGGTATGGTTCCAGGGATTGGTGTGTGAGAACAGCGCTCCCCTTGCCATCCTTCTGCCATGCGAACAGAGGAATGAACTGGGCCACCCTGGGGGGAAATCTAAGATGATTGTTATATGAAGGGTGGGTCAGTGAAATCAGCTGTCATGATGGCATGCAGACCTTCTGATGTAGCCTCGTCTGTAACTGTTTTTAGTAGGCTGTTCGTCTGCAGGCAATACACAGACGGTTAAAACCGAATTATGTCGGTCCAAAACCATCTTCTCTTTGGGCTGCAATATCATGACAGAACAGACACATAGCTGAGGTTACAATGAACTCTAACTGCATTTAAAATATGAGCTGTTGCCTGGCTCGTAACAAAGTGAGAATACAGCTGTGATAAGAACAAACCCATACTATAAGGGTTAACAAGAGTTCCCCTTAGACATACCTGTCGTGTAGGTTTGATCTATAGCAACTTAAAATGTGATTTTATCATGTCTTATCTTGTTACTTAATAGAAGAGTATCACTGTGGAATCTCTGAGTTTACTTTACATCCATTCTTTCAAAGCACTGTCTGTAGGTCTATAGTGCAATGGCTTTGCTAGATGTGTGTTACTGAAAGAGTCTTTGTTCAACTTCTTTAATGTTGTCTTCACGCTCAACTATCTCTGTAAGTATCACAAACCTGAATGAGAAAATACCATGACGAGGCTGGCCAGTCGTAGTTCTTTAAATCACTGGGAAGTATATCTACATTTGTATTCGTAGGATCAACATCTTAAGCGATTGGTAAGGCGTTCCTCATACAGTTAAAAAGGAAGAAGGGATATGAAAGTTTGAACTGCAGTACGGATTATACAAATCTTGCCTGCAAATGTGAAGGCATTTTGAGGAGTATAATAGGTTGTAATTGTACAGTATTGACCTAGGAAAACATACTGTAAATTGAACATTTGACCTAGAAAACAATATTGCTGTGAACATTTGTCCAATTTCTGAACGTTTTGTCTTATGAGGATATTGAGCTGGGGAAAATACAAATCTGGAATCAAATAACCTAAGGATCAGATACGCTCCCGCTTATGTTCCTGATGTATAGTTGGATTTTATAAAGAAGGCTCACATGTATAAAATATAGTATAGACCCTTAATGCTGAGGTATAAATCTAGGTTATTACAAATGGCTTGTTAAAGACGGCAAAGATTGTTGGCATCCAGCAGATATCTAAATACTCTTCTACTTATGGACATTCTTGGGCTGGGTGGAGTAAAACGTTTAGATTTTGATGTCAGCAAGAATCATTTATGGAGCCATTTTTTCAGAATTGTTGCTATTTCTATCCTGGACACTTGCATAAAGCCCCAGCTCTCTATATACAGCATGCGGTCCGTTTTGGCTCGGCCCCATTTTTTAGGTCTGGTTGTTAAATTATAAGGTCTTTGTAGTGGTTAGAGGGTGGGGGAGTTCTATTAATATATTCCGCCCTGTGAGAGCAGGGGGCGGCAATGGTGATCGCTTAAGCTTGCAATGCATTATCAATAGGCACAAATCCTCATTATCTAACACCGTGACCAGTCACATACAGCAAAAAAGTTTGTACACTAGCAGAATGTCTTATGTCTTTTTCCATCAGGGAAATTAAGATTTAAAAAAGGCCACCAATAACCATATCTGAAATCCAAATATTTGTGCCTTGATTGTAATTCATAACACAAAAGTACTCATGTGTACAATAAAGTGTCTCCCAGACCTTCATAAGTGCGTACAGGGATGTGCTTTCAGGTCTTACATTTCATAACATTACATTTCATTGGGCTGACGCTTTTATCCAAAGCGACTTACAAAAAGTGCAAAAAGCATAAAGAGTCAAGCTCCGAACAACAAGGAAAGTGCAGATATATTCCCTTCAAGCAAGTCATACCATTGAAAGTGCTGGTGAATTAGTTACGAGGCGTAAATTAACTTTTTAAGTGAATTAACTTTTTTATTTAACTGCTAAATTTAATACAGCAGACACAGGTGCAATCATTGAGCCTTCGAGCAACAGCACCGATACCATATATACTGAATATTGCTAATTAGCCTACAGTGTTATGAGTAAAGCTAAATGATATTGCTAAGCATAATATTTGAAGCAATCAATCTAAACTCACTGTAGTAGGAAAATATTTCTACAACAGAAATTGTTTTGGAATTGTGGTATTGTTAAAAAACGATATGCTAATGCATATACATATGTTAATCAATATGAGGGACATGTTCTCTTAATGCCCTCTGGTAGCAATCAGGAGGTTTTAAGATTGTGGCAGTACCACAAACTAGAGTCTCCAGAATTAATATTCAGGTTAATCCACTCTTAGATTCAACAATAATTTAACATTTCTACCTCCGTGACGGTAGGATTTATTGCAGGACTGTTGAATTAAAATGTATTCGTTTTATCTAACGTTAACCTATTTTATTCTGAGGGGCTGAAACAATGTACCTCTAACTATTGTAGCTGCTGGAAGTATTTAGATGTGATGCTGCACTGTCCTGGAAACAACCTCACCTTGCCTCACCCCTGAGTAGTTCTGCAGCACAGGCAATTCTCTTTTGGGAAAATAAAGTCTTCCAGAACGTCTGTTGTTTACTATCTTTTCTCTCTGTCTCTCAGATGGACCCTGTCCAGAAGGCAGTGATCAACCACACATTCGGTGTCCCTCAGCCCCTCAAGAAGAAACAGATTATCTCCTGCAACATTTGCCACCTGCGCTTTAACTCAACGGTAAGAAATGTTTTAGTGGCTTTATGTCTCGGTGTTTACGGGAATTACAGAGAGGTTGTGGGCATGATAAGATAGAGAGAAAAGCTGGCATCCCATACTGTGAGACATACAACATAAAAGTGATCCATAGTCTAGCCTCAGAGAACATCATCTCTTTGTTTTGTTTTTGAATGGCGGTCTTTTAATTACCTTAGCCCTTATCATCCCTGTTAGTGTGTTTGTGTACGCTGAGTGTTTGTGTGAATAACCAAATGTGGATATATTTGTGTCTTAATATAAAACAAAAACTACTAGTAAAAACTTTTTGCATATTATGTCAAAGTTAAGGTTACTCTTTTCATTCGTTTTTTCTACTTATGTGCATATAACAGTTTGTTAAGTTTCCCTTTCAGTGATTTTGTATGTGTGTGTCTGTCTGTTGTTTGGTGTGAGGGATTAGACAGCAGGGAGAGCTGTCGTTTATCTGCAGAGCGCAGAAACAATCAGCAGCCCCAGCAGGAAGCAGCATCCTCGGCTCATCGCTCCATTTTTCCTATCCTTGCCACCCCTAACACACAGATTTACACACACTCGCACACGTACTGTACACTTGCTAATATGCACACTAGAGCACAGACTTACACACATAGACACACTGGCAAATTCCCATGATATTTATTACATATTCACATAAACAAATAGTTAATAGTCGAGAAAGCTCTAAGACAACTCTTGTCTGGGCAAAGTAAAAGCACACTCTTTTGGTCTCCATCTTCAAAGAAGGGCTGAGGCACAGGAGACAGGGAGCTGAGGGGGAGAGGAAACTCCGACGTGCTCCCAACACACAAGAGCAAATCCCATTCCCCGCCTCCACGCTCCAACTTAAAGGAGAGTGTCAGGTCTGACTGTTGCTTTATCTGTCTCTCTGAGAGCATGAATACTTTCCTAACACTCTCATGTACCCTCCTCGGAGTTTGCTCACATATTATACCAAGTTATCCTTATGCATAATGCTCAAAAGTGAAATAAGTAACCTTTCTCTGCTGCTCAGTGTAGGACAAAGAACAATCTAACACCAGCGTATAATCTAGTTGCTGACCTCCTGTGGTTATACTTAGCTGCAGTGATGTAGAGGTGTACCTCAGGGCGTGTTGGTGCACTGTGACATAACTGCTGGGTGTGGTTGGGGTGCAAAAGAGCACGTTTTGTTATTGAACAAATGCTCTAATCCAGGGGTTTTCAAAGTGTGGGTAGGTCTCTGTGTGTGTGTGTGTGTGTGTGTGTGTGTGTGTGTGTGTGTGTGTGTGTGTGTGTGTGTGTGCAGAGCCGGCCCGACCCATTAAGCGACATAAGCGGCCGCTTAGGGCCCCGCAGCCACTAGGGGCCCCCTAGCAAAAAAAAATAAGAAAAAAAAATTAAAATCTTTTTATTTTTTATTTAAAAAATAAATAAATCTCAGTACACCGTCGCCGTGATAAGTATGTTTAATTAATTGTGTTAATATGCCTGGATTGCCTACTCTCAAAGTAATGTATTATATTATTAGTTATTATAGTCAATAATATAATACATTAACCGTGCTTTACCTGAACCTCATCATGAACAAGAGAGGACGGCAGGATTGTAATTTCCCGTGTTCAGTGAATGCAACAGAGGCAAGACACCAGACCAACCAGAGAGTTGAATGGAAATAAACATCTGTCTTATTGGCTGACAGGTACCTATCATGTGAGCTGTGACAATGTTTAAAATAAACTGTCAGTCGGACTCAGAGTTTTTGAAGATGGACAATTCTCAAGTGGTGGCTCACACAACAACCCCAGATTCATGGTGGCTCAACAACCCCAGAGCCACCACTTGAGCCAGGTAAACAAGGTATGCAAATGTCAGTAAACTTCCAAGTTATGCGAACATGTAAGCAAAGCATAAATTACAGCTACGTTGACGTTACTTTGAATCGCGGGGGTAAGCTAAACCGTTAGCAAGTAGCTATAGCTAGCCAGATATATTAAATAAATACTTAAGAGGTTTCTCAATACTCAAATTTCCCCTCCTCGACTCCTCGGTCCTCCGGTAGTGACCTGGAAATGAATTTCAGCGCGCCATTTTGAAG